TTAAAAACAGTTGTGGATTTTTTTTTTAACCCCCCATTCAAACAAAGAATTGCAACCATCTAAAAGACTCAGGCCTGCTCTTCCATGTTTAAAATGGAAGTTGGTTTTCTGAGACACTTCCTGGTTTTTTGAAATTATGAAAAGAGACTCCATACCTGAAGCCTTGGGATGAATTGCTTGTGCAGTTTTGTATATAAAGTATATAGCAATAGGCATCATCTACTGTATAGCCATATTTGAAAATTCTGTTTTTGGTTTTCCCTTTTTAGGAATTTATAAATATTAGCATTATCTTACTCTTTGAAAAGATATTCTCAGAGCATGGGATGTGCCCAAACAAGCTAAACAGATGAAACCCACGCACTGTTTGCATCAGCAGAGTGGGATTCTAAATTCATCTCAGTTTGGGCACGAGCCTAGTCATTCATCTGCTATGAATGACTAGCTGGGCATCTTCAAATTTTATTTATTTTTACCTAGAAATAGGGATTCTGCTAACCTTGTGTAATTCAAATGATCCTGATGATTAAGACCAGAGACATAAAGTGTCTTATACAAGCTATAAAGTTCTACACAGCATTATATGGTGTCATTGATAATCGGGGGCCAGTGATGGGCACATTGTAAAGCATGTAGGTGCAGTTGCATGAGGACTGACCTTTAGCACCACATGTATTATATTAAGTACAGACAGGTATAAATGCATGATGAACACAAATGGAAGCAAAAGTTTACCTGCCTAAATGTGATACTTTCCAGTCATTCAGACATTCATAATGGAGGAGTGCATAACTTAGTTGCTGACTGAATGAGAAAAAGGGCAAAATGTGGTTGAGGGAGGATAGAGTATAGAGGACCCTTCTGAAGGGAAAGCGTGAACCCTGGAGGAGGAAAGAGAGGAGACAGACAACTAGCGAAAGGCTGGGGGGAAAGTTCTTTGAATTAAGAGATGAGGGTCCTAGACCTGAGGCAAATTTGTACATCTTACGTTAAAAGCTCACAACATTTGGGGGAGAATGGAACCCATAGTGCTTTGTTCTTGGAGTGGTGAGATCAAGACTATTTCCTCTCACATTCCAATGGTACAGACCCGGGCTCGGATTGGCAGGAATTTCTGGCCCTCGATGGGCTTTTGAACTAATAGTCAAGTTCTACTAAGTAACCACAGTGCCCAGTATGGAAGTCTCCAGCCTGAAGATTTCTATATGGGTGTTGAGTGGCAGCTTCACTGGAGCAAAGGGTTTTTGCTATAGAAAATTGGGAGTCATGATTTTTCCTTTCTTTATTTTTGTTTTTATTGTGCTTACTGTTTGTTTGCTTTATTTGAGCCCTTGAACCCTAGGACTCTGATATACAGTAATGACATCTGCTGAGCTCCAGAGAGACCCTGCTTCCAAGTTTATGCCAGGGAAGTCCATCTATAGTTGGAGATGAGTATCAGAATATAGTGCTTAATTAAAATGATCAATTACAATGAGCAGAGACTTAATAAATATTAAAAGACTGACTCAGTGAATGAGTTTATGCTATGACTCTGGAACTAGCAAAATTATAAAAACACAATTCCCCACTGAAGAAGTAATAAATAGAACTCATTACTAGGAGAATGAAATGTTGCCTCTCTGAGGATTTAGATTTTTCAGTGGCATTTTTAGCATCTATGGCCCTATTAAACCCTGTTATTTTCTTCCTAATTTGTGCCATTTAGGAATAATTTTCATTTAACTTTCCCATGGCTCATTTCTCTCTGTCAGAATTTCCATATGATTCCTTGATAAAGTCCATGCTTTAACACATTTCCATTATAAAACTGTAATAAGCACCAACTAAATAACAGTATGAAATAGCCAGAACATAAAGGACTGACGGGAGAAGAAATTGGCCAGCTGGGTAGTTAATTTTTATTCTTGAATGCCTGCTGCACGTTTTGTCTCTTGTGGTTGTTTTCATCCTCTCGATAAGATTCCATGCCTAATGGACAAGGACTCTAAGGAGACAGTTCTCACAATTCTTAAGGAACAGCCTTTCTTTCCCATAACAAAATCATCAAGCAGCACCTTTTGATGACATAGTGATTGCTATTCTTCACCCCAGCCCCATAACGGAAAGAAAAGGTTTTTATTTTTTGCTCCCTCTTACTGTCCTTTGGGCTTTGTAAAATACCCCTTGCACATTCTATTTAGTGGGCGTATGTTCTCTAGAGAGTTGTGTGAGGGTCATTTAGCAACCTGGGCCCCTTTCAATTCAACCAGTACTTATTGAACTCACTCAGTGCCCCATGTCTTGTGAAATACATCATGGAAACTTTGTTTCCGCCTGCCTAAGACTCAAGAGTTTTTTAAGTAGTCACCTACACAAATGCTTCTTGTCCAGGTCTGACTTTGGTTAGGACTAGAAGCATCCTTAGGTGTGAAAAGTACAAATTGTGTTTCTCTGAGCTTACTTTCTCACTTTTATTTAAAGTGAAAAGTAGACATTAAGACCAAGGTGAGAAAAAGGGCTAAAGTAGTGTGAAAAATAGGAAACACTTAGAAAAAGAGTCAGGTGATGACTTTATTAAATTTGTCTGCTCCTCCAGCAACGCGCAATGTGGTTCTAACCACCAGCACTGTCCCAGCCCCTGTACATGTGCATTCTGATGTTATAATCTGGCAACAAGTCTGCTTAAAACTGAGACTGTCACTGAGTACCAAAAACATGCCAATTAGGGGTCATGGGAAAAGCCTTGTGATGGGGTTTACTTGGGCTTTGAAGGAAGGATAGGGATTTATCAGCTAGAAGCGACAGTATGAGCAGTATTAAAATAGCATACACATATGGGGGAAAATCAAGTAAATCCATGTGAATCTTTTTTAAGAGGTGCTATTTTTTTACTCATTAGTTAAAAGGATGGGTCATCATCTTCCTGCAAAGATATGCTCCCTATCTTCCAACAGCTTTTCATTGAGGTTAGCTACTCTGCTTAGCTGTAGATTGCAAAGCATAAAGAGTAAAAATAGTAAATCAAATATATAACCAGACATTCAAAAGTTTTATATCAGAGCAACATGCAACTACACAGGTTTTCATTTTTCTATCTGTCTTTGGGCTTATATGTAGGAGGTAGGGTAGAAATGTAAACTCTGCTTAGTATTGACAGCTTTAGAAAAAAAGGTCCTCAGGATATTCCATCCATTTGCTCTCAAATTCATGCATGAGGTATGGGAAAAATACATTGTTAATTAATATTTCCATCTACCCCTGGTTTGTACAAATTGCTTTGGCAGACTTTCATGTATCTCATATGAAAGCCAAAGAGCTTTATTTAAATTGTCTGTTACATATTGAAAAGTTTACAGAACAAGCCCACAAATTCAGTGCAGTCTTCATTTTTGTGGTAGAGTGGAGTTGGCTAAACCCTCAGCTGTCATCAGCTCACTTTCCAGGTGTCTGTTCCATTGGGGGTCCTGTCTTTCATTTTTACAGATTTTTCTCTTACCTCTACCATGCCAGGAATTGGGCAGACTTTTCTCCCTTACAAGTTATTACCTCCTTATTCTAATGTAGTTTCTGCTTCCAAACCTTTCATTCCATTCTTGGCAGCATTCACAGCATGAAGTGTGCTTCTTTTATTATTTAATTCCTTACTTTCCTACACCTACTTCCACTTCTATTTTCCCGTCTCCTTTCATTTTGCCCTCACATATTTTTCACTTTGTGGTTTTCCTTTTCCTTGTGTGCTCTACATGAGAGAGCCAAATAGAACCCCACGGTTAAAAATAGTTTCTGACATTATTTGTGATTCCTAAGATGTAGTCGCACAAATAACCTTTTCTCATTTGATTTCCATCTAACATGCTGACAGTGCTCCAATCTTGTTTTCTGATTATCCCATTACATAGTGCTTTCCCTCTCATTTAGTGGAAACTTGCAAGTAATGGTTCTGTTTGGATAGCGCTGCCTAGTCATCATTTACAATTTTGTGGAATTAGAAAGGCAGTGGGAGAAAAGAACTTAAGCTTAAGTTCTTATTTAAAAGGAAAAGCATTAATTAACTATTTTGGTAATAGGTTGAAACAGTCTTCATCAGCATGCTATCCTAGAGCCATCTTTGTGATCTAGAAAAATGAAAACCTGTGTAGTTGCATGTTGCTCTGATATGCAATGAAACATCTTACTGAGGGAGAGTGCTATGCTCTGTATTGAGTAATGCATTTTAAATTCTGTCTTAAAAAGGCCAGCAAACTCAATTGACTACCCAATGGGATACAGTTTCAGGGAAAAAATCATCACAAACAAGTGCATAGGAAGTAACCTAAGAATTCATTTACTGTAATCATTGTTTTTACCATAAAATTGTAAATATTCACAGTCAGTAATCAGTCATGCCCAGCCTCAAAACAGTCTAGTAGTGTTTGTCGTGTGTGTGTGTGTGTGTGTGTGTGTGTGTCTGTCTGTGTTATAGCTATGCCCTAAAAACATCCTACAAATAGCTGAATTCATATAAAGCCACAATACCCAGGAGGCTAAATGATTGCCCGTTAGCATTGATCATTTGGGGGCATAAAAAGAAATGTCCTGTGCAAATAATACCACTTTTCTTATGCATTCTAAGGACCTCTTATATTCAAGAGTAAATTTTCCATACATATATTTGTTTCAATTGACATCTTAAAGTACATCTGAAAATACAGTATGCCATATAATTGAGAGCTGGACCATCTAATAGATGCTGTGTGAGGTCTTTCAGGAAATGAAATGGTAATGGAATTCCTATTCTCAGTGGTAGGAAATGACTGTCCTTTGTTTATGTCTTAGTTGATTTCCCCTGTATGTTTCTTTAGGCAAGTCAGTAATTTCAGAGAAGCCAAATACATCTTGCTTTTTGGGAGTGTAATTTGGCTGTTTTAGCCAGAGTATAGTTCTTGGGTTATGTACAACAGGCATTACTAAAAGATAGGCTCTTTTTATATCACTTGTATAGTTCCACATAATTTTTTTTTCTTTCCTGTTCTTGACAGGTGCATGAGGCAGTCCCATGCTACAGTGAATGCAATCAGTATTCCTGGATTGTAGAACACTGGTCTCCATGCAAAATTCACAATGAGCTGAGGTCTCTGCGCTGCGGAGGAGGAATGCAATCTAGGAAAATCAGGTGTGTGGAAATGGAGACGTTTGGGAAATGGGGCAGTGGAACATACATGTTTTTATAAAAAAACCAGAGTGTTTATCCAAGTGGACTCTAATTTTCATACTGCACACTCTGGCTTTTGCTCATCATTAAGTTTGTATAGAAGTATATGTGCCTTAACTGCCATGTGTACAGTGGGATTTCCTCTGCAGTGTAGTCACAATCCCTACGGTTCCCTGCAAATGACTTCAGTGGGAAAGCTAACTGCATGGAGCAGGCTAGCATCCCTTCACTGATCCACAGCCATAACTGTTAACAAATAGGGAGATTTTGGCTGTGATACCATGTCTCTTTTTTTGCTCTATGGGTAGTATAGTTGATGGACATTATCTTTTATTTATTTATTTATTTTTTATTATGTTATGTTAATCACCATACATTACATCATTAGTTTTTGATGTAGTGTTCCATGATTCATTGTTTGCGTGTTACACCCAGTGCTCCATGCAGTACGTGACCTCTCTAATACCCATCACCAGGCTAACCCCTCTCCCCACCCCCCTCCCCTCTAGAACCCTCAGTTTGTTTCTCAGAGTCCATAGTCTCTCATGGTTCATCTCCCCCTCCGATTTCCCCCCCTTCATTTAATTTTGAATGTCAGTACACTGAAAAGGTCAATTTAAACCCTCACTATTGGTCTTGGAAACTACAGTCTGAGAATACTTATGAACTCTAGTGATGAATTTTAATATTAAAAGGGCACACCTCTGAAAGAATTTAGTGAATTCTGGGTTATTTACAGAGGAATCTTGTTTAAAGTTTTTGTTTTGTAAATACAGCAGTATAAGCAAAGGAAACACTTGGTCTGAGTTTGTCAAAGTGGCCTATTTAAGAATGATTTGGAAAGAATGAATTTCTTTGCCAACTGAGGATAATGGTAATAAATGTTAGACTGAACAAGCGAAAACTAAAATATTAATGATAAGCAATGGTTAGTATGTAAAATCAAGAAGAAAATATAGTTTAGTCAACTATTTGATTGCATGAGCAGAGTATCATTTTGTGAGATTTAGGAAGCTCCATTTCAAATGGACAGACAGTTCTCAAATCCTATAACTCCTTGTTGAGTTAGCTGTCAGATGGAAGTCAGTTGCTAAGGCAGAGCCTACTTACATATGTTGATTGTTATTCAATATCAGTGAACTTACTTTATTCAGTAATTCAGTATATACCCACCATTTCTGAGACTTAATCCCAGTGTTGCAAAATCACTGGTAGCCATTGGAAGAAGTAGCTATTGGTGAAACTGTCATCAAGCCAAACAAATGGCTAATAGACGAATTATCTTTCTTTCATTTTGTTCGTTCCCCTTTCCTCTGGGGACTAGTGTGCTCATGCTGTCACAGACTTTTTTCTCTTCAAAATCTATGTCTCCACTGTCTTATTCTCATGGTTTTGAGAAATGACTGATCAACCTAGCTTATTAAGTAACAAGCAGACGAGCTGTGATACCTCCCACTCTCATCCCAGCCAGACCTCTTAGCAGTACTAAATCAAAATCTCAGGAGAGAAAGGAAAGCTTTGAGAGAATAAATTGCTACCAACAGTATTATGGCAGGCTGACTGAGGAAAAACACACTTAAACAAGAAGGTCTTTAAGCAGTACTTCTCAGCTCAAACTTACAGAGCTTGATATAATACAAATAACACAGCTACTGAATACCACTCTGTTATGAGGTGAATTGCATTCCCTAAAAATCTATGTATTGTAGTCCTAAACTTCAGTACCTCAAAACAAGGCTATGTTTGAAGATAGGCTCTTTAAAGAGGTAATTAATGTTAGTGAGGTCCTTGGGATGGGCCCTAATCCAGTCTGATTCATGTCCTTATAAAAAGAGGAGATTAGGACACACACACACACACATACACACAGAGGAAAGAGCATGTAAAGACACAGGGAGTGTAATCATCAAGACAGTATGGTACTGGCATAAAAACAGACACATAGATCAGTGGAACAGAATAGAGAACCAAGAAATGGACCCTCAGCTCTATGGTCAACTCATCTTTGACAAACAGGAAAGAATGTCCAATGGAAAAAGGACAGTCTCTTCAATAAAGGGTGCTGGGAAAACTGGACGGCCATATGTAGAAAAATGAAACTGGACAATTTTCTTACACCATACACAAAGTTGCACTCAAAACAGATGAAAGACCTAAATGTGAGACAGGAATCCATCAAAATCCTAGAGGAGAACACAGGCAGCAACCTCTTCGACCTTGGTGGCAGCAACTTCTTACTAGACGTGTCCCTAAAGGCAAGGGATTAAAAGCAAACAAGAACTATTGAGACTTCAAGATAGAAAGCTTCTGCACAGCAAAGGAAACAGTCAGCAAAACCAAAAGGGAACCTACAGAATGGGAGAAGATATTTGCAAATGACATATCAGATAGAGGGCTGGTATCTGAGATTTATAAAGAACTTACTGAACTCAACAGCCAAAAAACAAATAATCAGTCAAGAAATGGGCAGAAGACATGATGAGACATCTCTCCAAAGAAGACATACAAATGGCCAACAGACATATGAAGAAATGTTCCACATCATTCGGCATCAGGGAAATACAAATCAAAACCACAATGAAATACCACCCCACTCTAGTCAGAATAGCTAAAATTAACAAATCAGGAAACAACAAATGTTGGCAAGGATGCGGAGAAAGGGGAACCCTCTTAAACGGTGGGTGGGAATGCAAGCTGGTACAGCCCCTCTGGAAAACAGTAGGGAGGTGCCTCAAGAAGTTAAAAATAGAGCTACCCTATGACCCAGCAATTTTACTACTAGGTATTTACTACAAAGACACAAATGTAGTGATCTGGAGGGGCACATGCACCCCAATGTTTATAGCAGCCATGTCCACAATAGCCAAACTGTGGAAAGAGCTGAGATGTCCATGGACAAATGAATGGATAAAGAAGATGTGATATAATATACACACACACACACACACACACACACACACACACACACATACATACATATATGATGCAATATTACTCAGCCGTCAGAAAGGATGAATACTTACTCCTTACATTGATGTGGATAGAACTGGAGTGTAGTATGCTGAGCGAAATAAGTCAATCAGAGAAAGACAATTACCATATGGCTTCACTCATGTGGAATATAAGAAACAGTGCGGAGGACCATCGGGGAAGGGAGGGAAAACTGAATGGGAAGTCATCAGAGAAGGAGAAAAACCATGAGACTATTAACTAGAGGAAACAAACTGAGGGTTGCTGGAGGGAAGTTGGATGGGGGGATGGGGTAATTGGGTGATGGGCTTTAAGGAGGGCATGTGATGTGATGACCACTGGGTGTTATACACAACTGATGAATTATTGAACATTACATCTGAAACTGATATACTATATGTTGGCTAATTGAATTTAAATAAAAAATAAAGACACAGTTCATTAGCCATCTACAAGCCAAGGAGAGAGGTCTCAGCAGAAACCAACCCTTTCAGTACCTTGATCTCAGACTTGGAGCCTCAAGAACTGTAAGAAAATAATTTCCTATTGTTTAAGGAAACTAGTCTGTGATATTTTGTTGTGGCAGATTTTGTTGTATGCTTTATGTGTATGGTCCCATTTAAATATGTGAAGCAGTCCCACATCGGGCTCCCTGCTCCGCAGGAAGCCTGCTTCTCCCTCTCCCACTCCCTCTGCTTGTGTTCCCTCTCTCGCTGTGTCTCTCTCTGTCAAATAAATAAAAAAAAAAAATTAAAAATTAAAAATAAATAAATAAATAAATAAATAAATAAATAAATAAGTGAAGCAGGGGCACCTGGGTGGCTCAGATGGTTAAGTGTCTACCTTCAGCTCAGGTCATGATCCCAGGGTCCTGGGATCGAGCCCCGCATTGGGCTCCCTGCTCAGCGGGAAGCCTGCTTCCCCCTCTCCTTCTACTGCCCCCCCTGCTTGTGCTCTCTCGCCCTCTCTGTCAAGTAAATAAATAAAATCTTTAAAATAAATAAATAAGTGAAGCAGATTTTCTGGGTATCTTGCATTCCAAACCATTATTGACCTTAATAAGACACTGTTATAACGAGTAAAATAGCTTCTCCTTCTCTTTCTTGAAACTTCCAAACTGGAGGACATCTTCATGGTTCATCTTGGATTGCAATAATTTATTAATTCAGAAAATATTCTATGTATCAGGCAGTCTAGGCAGTGGGGATAAAAGAAAAGTGAACAGAAGTTTCTATCCTCAAATAACTTACAGTAGCAGAGAGAAAGATAAATACATAAATATAATGGAATGTCTTTGCTATGAAATGCCAAGAAGAAAATAAAATTTGGTTGGAGTGATGGGGGATACTGTTTTGGAGAGGTTGGCCAGCAAAATATCCAAGCAGAGATCTGAATAAAATGAGAGACCTGGACGAATATAAAGATCTGAAGAAATAAATCCCAGGGAGAAAGAGTATCCAAAGTAGTAAGCTTCTTGGCTTGTTATAACAAGATGAATAGCAAGGTGTCCTGTATAGCTGGTCAGTACTCAAATCAGACAATCTTCTAAAACAAAGTAAAAGGATTTTTTTCTAACTGCAACTTGAAGCCATGAAATGTTTGAGACAGGAAATGACATAGTCTTATTTACAAGGACCTTGTTGGATGTAGAGAAGGTGTTTTGGGGGGGGGTATATCAATAGAAGCAGGGATAAAGGTTTCAAAGACATTCCAGAATTCCGGGTGGGAGACACTGATGGTTGGGCTGGGCTTGGTAATAATGAAGGTGGTGAGAAGGTCACATTTGGACTATATTTGGAAGGTACAGACCGCAGGATTAATTTATAAAGTGACTGTAGAATGTGGAAGAAACAAAACATCAAAGATGACTGCTAGGTTTTAGTGCCTAACAATGAATATTAGAAGCAAGTTTGAGAGAGAAAAATCAAAAGCTAGCTTTTGAACACATTAAATTTGCCTTCCAACTGTGACAATACAGACTGGAGTTCAGAAAGAGACAGTGGTATAAATTTGGGCATCAACAGCTTATACATTTGATATATATTGATAAGAAAAGACAAGAAATTGAGCCCTGGGGAACTCCAATATTCATAGATGATAGCAAAGAGAAAGCTCTACAAATGAGACTGAGCAAGAGCTGTTGGAGAATGAGGAAAACCAAGAAAATGGGAAAGCAAAAGGGTTTTTCAAGAAAAAGAGAGCAATCAATTGTTTCAAATGGGTTCTCAGAAATTTACTAAGATGACAATTGACCCTTGAGTTTGGCAATAGGAAGTCTGTTAATGATCCAGATAAGAGGTTTCTCTGAAATGGTAATAAAAGTGTGATTAAATGAAATTTAAGAGATAGTCATGAAGGAAGTGGAGGGGGAAGGCTGTGGGAATAGCAAATATGCTTCAAAACAGTTTTGCACTGAGTTTTGAGTAGGAATGAGGTGACAACTGAAAATATGAGATGGAAATTGATAATGCAGGATACATAACTGCAGGGGCATTTTCATTTGGGAACATCTTCAATTCAGTCTTTTTAAGTCTTTACTCTTGGGCTTGTCAGAACCCCCAGAGAAGGCTTTTCATAAATCACGCATGAAATAGATAATCCTAGTGGCCAGTGTTTTGGCTGATGTGGTGAAGAGAATTGTGGCCCCCCCCAAAGATGTCCACATTCTAATCCCTGAAATCTGTGAATCTGTTGCCTTCCATAGCAAAAAGGACTTTGCAGATGTGGTTAGGTTAGGATTTTGAGCCAGGAAGATATTCATGGATTGTCTGGGCAGGGACAATTTATTCACAAGAGTTCTTAAATGTGAAGGGGAAATGGGACAGAAAGAGAAAAATGTGACCACAGATGCGAGGCACAGAGAGATGCAAGGCTGTTAGCTTTGAAGATGGAGAAAGGGGCCATGCCCAGGTAATGAGGGTAGCCCTTGGAATCTGGAAAGAGGTAAGGAAGTGGTCTCTCCTCTAGAGCCTCCAGAAAGGAATCCAGCTCTACCAAAGCATTGGTGTTAGCTTCGTGAGATCCATGTTGGATTTCTATACTACAGAATTGTAAGATAATAATTTTCATTCTTTAAACCACTAGGTTTGTGATAATTCTTCCAGTATATTAACTTGTACTTAAACCCTTGTTTTCAATATGATATTCTCATCCTTAAGTGAGCCATGTGTTCTCTAGCCCAAAGACTGTCTCTTTTTATGACCCTCTCCAGATAATAAACCTTCAGTTACCTTCAGGGGGTTGGGGAGGGGCCATCACCTAGCCCTGTGGATTGTGGGAGGTCTGAGGGCCCAGGTACTTCTTAAACATACTTTCAGTAAATCTTCCAGTTTTTCAGCCTCGCCTTCATCCACATTTCCAGAGGTACTTGGTGCCACAAGCTCCTGAATTTTTTATGTTTTCTGTGGTGTAAATGGAGTTACTTTCTTTGTTTTTCCTTGAAGTCTTAGTATTTCAGCTTTCTTGATATGGTAAGTGAGTTACCTCTAGTTCATCTATTTTCCATTTGTTTTCTTTGTCCTTTCCCATGTTCTTTGTCCTTGTAGGGTAATGCCTTTCCTCCCATCTTGGGTTTTTGAGTTTTCTTTGTGGGTTTTTTGTGGGTTTTTTTTTTTTTTTTTGGTAACAAATTCCTTTACAATTCTTTTTGTGGCATATTAGGAGTGAACAAAGACAAATGTGTACATTCAACTGGACACCACTGACCAGAAGTCTTATCTCTTCTTTCTCAGTGAAATAATAAAAGAACATCAGCAGAGAGTATGCAGGCAAGAAGGAAAGCAATTTCTAGCTTTTAAGTTTGTCTGCAACAAGACACATAAGCAATTTTGTGGTCCCCCCTTCCACTACTATTACCACAAAAGAAATTAAAGTCCATAGATGACTCTATACCATGCCTCCCTGTATTAGAAGACGTTACTTACCTCTTCTACCATTCTGTGTTAACCTTGTTTATACAATGTACAGTTTTTCATTACTTGGCACCTCATAAAGCTTACTTTCTATTGTACAAGGTAATAGACTACTTTGCAATTTTCCTGAATTAAAAAAAATAGTATGTATAAAAGAAACTCCTAATGTATAGGATAATTCATTCTAGCCTAGCATGATTTGGGGGGCACCAAAAGCTCTCCATCATGTCTGTCTTAAAATGCTCACTCCTCGGCTGTGGCATTGTGTCTCAAGTGATCAGATCAGCAAATGGCACCACTTATCTCATTGTCATTATCATTTTCACCTTCACTTTGATTATTATCACTTGAAGAAAAGTGTTATAACAATAGGAATCTTATCTCTCTCTCTCTCTCTCTCTCTCTCTTTTTTTTTTTGTAGTCTGTACCCCAGCAACCAGGCAAGGGCCTGGTACACAGTCCTCAAAAGTATTTACTAAATGAATTATTATTAACAAATACTAAGTATGTTTCCCATGCCTAGCAAAAAAGGTTTGCATGTAGCTAGTCTTTCTTAAACATTTTTTAAAAAATAATTCAAACATAAAATTCTAATTGACATTTCATATAAATACAGAGAAATGCCCACTCATAGGGTATAGTTGAATGAATTTTCACAACAGGGGCACAACTGTGTAACCAGCTCAGAGGCCAAGAAACAAAATATTATCAGGACTACCTTAAGCCCCCAATAGTAAGTAACCATTCCCCCAAAGGTAATCACTACTCTGACTTCTGACAGCATAGATGAATATTACCTATTTCTTTCTATGAATGAAATCATACAGTATATTCTTTGGTGTCTAACTTCTTTTGTGCAGCATTCAATTTTTGAGCTTCACCCATGTTCTATCATGTAACAGTAGTTCATGCATTCCCACCATTTACCACAATATATTTATCTATTGACCTTGTTGTTGAATAGTTGGACTGTTTCTAGTTTGGGTGATTATGAATAGTGCTAATAGGAATATTTTCTGTCAGTTTTTTTTTTCTTTTTTTGGTGCACATTTCTTTTGTGTATGTATATAGGCATAGAATTGTTGGGTCATATGATATGTATATGTTGCCCTTTAGTAGATACTACCAACTAGTTTTCCAAAGAGTATTATGCTCCAACCAGCAGAGTAAGAAGAGTTACAGTTGTTGCCTGTTCTTGCCAACCCTTGAAATTTTCCATATTTTTTATTAAAGCCATTCTGGTGGATATATAATGGTATAACACTTTGGTTTTGATTTGATTGAATCAATAGCATGGTTATTTATCTTGCCTTGACCAGCACTTATTTCAAAGCCCGATACAGATTAGGCCAAGCGTCTGTATACTGTGTGTTCAAATGCCACATGAAAATGCTTACATATTACCCCTTGGTTTATGATACCAAAATTCCTTACTGAAATGCAGAAAATACCTGAGAGAAAAACATGTTTAATTATGTTTTACATTCCTTGGCCATGACCTTAAATGTGTTGGACAGAGATTAGGGAAGTTTGGATGATGTGAGATGGAAGTGTAGGAACGGTCTGAGAGAGTCACAGGAACTAGGAAGGCTCTCGCTATTACAAAGTGATGAACTCATTCAGAGAAGAAGAGCCTTCAAAATTTGTTAGAGTAAGAAGAAAATTCACTCTGTGCTGGACCCGAGTAACAATAGAGTAGGTCCCTCGAGATGGAGAGTTCTTTCAGAATGGCAATGGACCTCAGTCTTCCCATTTTTCTCTCTTGCTCTGCTAACTGAAGGGTTATCACTCAACAAAGGTCAACAGGCTGAAGAAGGAACTTTTTTTCCCCTTGATTTCTCTGCTGGTCTATTTTATGTTTAATCATCTTTGAGGGGTAAGTAACTCTGGTATAGCATAACTGCTTTACATTTACTTTCCACTGTTTTTAAGTCTCCACTGTTTTATCCTTGATCTTGCCTTGCAGATGTGTGAATGCTGCTGATAGTGAAGGGGAAGCCGTGGATAACAGCCTGTGCAGCCAGGATGAAATTCCCCCAGAAACCCAGTCATGCTCTCTTCTGTGTCCCAGTGAATGTGTCATGTCCGAGTGGGGGCCTTGGAGCAAATGCCCACAGGTAATGTCTCTTCCCTTGTCAATACCCTAATCCTCCAGTGCTGCCTTCACTGGTGGCCACTATATATTCACAGTACTTGCTCTCCAAAACATTCTTCTAGTAACACAAGAACATAATTTTACCTAAGAAGGAAGGAAAAAAAATTTAGCAAGCGAGACTGAGCAATTTAAAATGCCAGTGCTTCTCTTAAGGCCTTTATCATGGGAACACGGACAAGGAAAATGAGCCTATAATGATCACACTAGGATTCGAATGCACACCCATTGTTAAAGGGGTCTTCTTTAGTACCAAAATGATTCTCATTATAATCTCTTGGTTCTATTCCATTTTTATCCTGGCAGAATCAATTATATCTTAGTAGCTCAACTCTACTGTATAATTTAGCTTCCGTTCGTGACGATCTGTTTTTGCCTTTTGCTATTTTCCCCAAAGATGAGGTGTTCTTTTGTCATGTTCTTCTTCCAAAGCTGACAAAAAAAAAAAAAAGAAAAACCCTTTCTAAAAATCTAAAGCATTTGCCTTTATTTTTTTTCTTTAAAAAAAAAGGAAACATAACGTGACTATGGAAAAATAAATATTCCTCAAATAGAATGGTTCCACTTAATATTCGCAGAAGCTAAACTCTGATAGTTTAGACTTGTACTTTGGCTTCAAGAGCTAAGAAAGAAAATGAGGTTAAGGAATATGTTATATGGCTCCAAACATTAGGAAGGGAGACTTAGGTTTACTCTGAGTTCAGTGGTGATACAATTTGTGGGAAGATTGTGTAAAATCTTTGTATAGAAACGGAAAATATTTTTGAAATCCGTTAATACTCTGTATTTGCAGCTTTGAATTATTGATTCATCATTAATTTTTGCAACCTTATCTTTGGCATTTCCATAATTCTGTTCCTGAAAGAGATTTCCCTTTGTTGTTATTTTTTCTTTGTTGAGTTGTTTTTTTGGGGGGTTAGGACAACACAATATTAAGATGAAGAGGTATTAATTAAGGGTAATTTGCAGGAATGGAATGTTGGTTCTACTTATTTTGTGTGTGACTTAAATATAAGAAAAGTTAACATTTATTGAGTACTTACTGTGTGCAAGGCACATGTAAAACTTTTCTCTTTAGTACCCATAACAATCCTACTAAGTACATACTATTATCAGTCCCATTGTACAGATGGAGAAACTGATTCTTAGGAAAGCTAAGTAGCTTGCACTGAATAAGTGATGCAGCTGGGCTGAACTTTATCCTATCTGATGAAGCCAAAGCGTTTGCTCTTACATCCTTGGCTTCCTTACCTTGGATGAATTAAAGTGGATTTAGACCCATACTTTCCCTTCTTTAAGATGCAGCATTTATTTTAAGAATAAAGCAAGTTACTGGTCTGTATGATTATTCTATGACCACACTTTAGAAAATGTGGCAGCATACATTCTTTACTAATCAACTTGCAGAATTAGCATTCTGAGTAAGTTAAATTAAATGTAGAGGTCATGATCTTACTCACTTTGCTTTTTTTTCTAATTTGCTCATAATAAACTCCATTAAGCTATAAGAACTTTACAATGAAAATGTTGCCCTTATAAGTCAAGAATTCTGGCCACTGAGCTAAAATGTCTGTTATAGAGCATTTTTTACAATGTTGTAATGGCCTGGCATTCTGTGTTTATTTCTTTGGGTTTCTAAGAGGCAATTTCCTTTAAGGTTTACTTGTCCAAACCTAATTAAACTATTTTTGGAACATTTAGAAATTGGAGATAGAAAAAACATTTCAACCTCCTTTCATATGTCTGGGAGATGACATAGGCAGTTACTTGTCAGCGTGAAGTGAGAGGGTTGTTCTGTCAACTGCTTATGCACCTGCTAAGTGACATCATCATCATCATCATCATCATCATCATCATCGTCGTAGCTAGGACGACAGTAATAACTTTCATTGAGCACATCTTATGTAATAAGCACTGTGCTGGAATTTTCTAACACTGTGCTATGATGATTGACATTTATCCAGTCTCTCAGGTCTGTTCGACCACAGTGGCCTAGCTCTTTCTCATATGCCATGATGCTCTCAAGTGTAAATAAAGACTTTAAGATAGAAAAAAAATGGTAATCAGGGCTCATACCTGATTATTTTCCCCATCTCTTAAATATGTTACATAATTTTAATAAATTGCAACATCTTAGCATAATGTCCCAACATCATAGGTGCTTAAGCAGTACTTGACAATGATCATGATCATGATTATAGCGAAGTTAGCAATCTGGATCTTTGTGCTTGAAGTTTAATTAGCACTTCAATGTGCATTTTCTGAGAAAAATAAAACTGTTATTGTGTAATTGTTCTCTATAGCATGTTCTGATTCATGGATCTCAATATTGGCCATTATTTTACCAAATTCTCCTTTGATAGTCTGCAGTGTGACATGTGTCAATAGGACCAATTCACTGTTTCTCTTTCATCTTTTTCTTCCCACAGCACTTCTTCAGAGTCAAACACATAACCAAACAAAGTCCACCCTACTCCCCCACCGAAAAACAAACTCAGGATATTTCTGAGACAAAAATATGTTTCCCTTATATATCTATAAAGTACTCTGAAATTTATATTTTGATTTAGCTATAAAATCTATATTGAATGTGAAATAAGCTTAATGTATTTTAAACGTAGTAAAGTAAGTAGATTTGCCAGTTAATTAAAAGAAACTTAGCAAAACCAATTAATCAAGTAAAACAATTGTCTTGAATTCCCAGTATGTGTCCTAGACGTTGAGGCCAAATGTGTATGACAGACCGTCACTGCTACCAAGGAATCGTAGCCCTCAGCATCTTTAGACATACGTACTGTGTATGGGTAGCAAAGAATTCAATAACTGAGTAGCAGTGTTTATCATTTCATACAATGTTTACTAATAAAGTGGTAGACAATATGTAAAATGATTAAGTACACATACTTCCTAACCTCCGGGTCAGTGACTTTCACAGTAGCACACGTAAGAAGCATCCAGAAAGTGTGTTAACACACAGCAGCTCTGCCCCATCCCAGAGATTCTGATTCAGTACATCTGGGTGGGGCCCATGAGTTGGCATTTAGAAAGTTGCCAGGTAACACTGATTCTGCTATTCTGGGAATACACTTTGAGTCATAAGACTGTCGGCCATTACATTCAAGCCATGTTTTTTCTCAACCTCACTCGAATCACAACTTTTTGTTGAATATTGAGTGAACATTAGTATTAACTGGTTACCTAGCTTATATTTGCAGATGCTTTCCATGTGCCAGACAATGTGCTTAGCACTTTATATTTATTTTCCTACTTAATCTGCAGAATGCCACTACAAAATAGATAGTATTGTCCCCCAATGTATAGATGAGTAAACTGAGTCTCAGGTTAGTAACATGCTGCTTTTAAAGAGCTAGTAAAAAGCACAGTGACTACTTAAGCCCATGTAATCCGTATATAACCCCTAACCACTACAGAAGAAACAGAATCCATGCTACCTGTCCTAGAGAATATGCTAACCAGTAAAATCTCTTGTCTCCTTTTCTGGTTTACTTTGGCTGTTTAATTTGTGAAGGAAGATACTTCTAAATTCCATAATCTACTTCATTTGAATAGTTTGCCAAGGAGGGAAAGAAAAGGGGCCACAAAAGAGCATGTGATCTAACGCCCAGGAACACTTGCTGGCTGTGGGACTGTGGACAAGTTATTTAAACCTCTGAGTTACAGGTTCCTCATCAGGAAAATAAGAACAATGATCATTGTTTTTCCAGATTATTTAGAAATTAGAGATAATACGTATAAAGTGAGCACAGAGTATTACTTAATACAGGTTTGTTTAAAAAAAAGGAAAAAGAAGAAGCAAATCAAAGCTCCCCCTTGCCTTGTTTACAGTGTGGTTGGGAAACCTAAGACAGGTTGCTATATATTTTCTAAGTCATACAGGAAATATCCCTTCTTTCGCACAAAATGGGTTATTATACGATATTACAGAAATAAAATGTCACCTCCTTTGCTGAAAAATGACTTATGCCTAATTTGATAGCAGTCCCAAAAAATAAGGCATCAGAAAGATAACTTCAAATGAATGGCTCACTGACCTTAAAGTGACTGCCAATTGCAAACCATAACAAAGAGCAAACAAGACAAAGCCATTGAAAATTGTGTGGGGATCATTTTAACTGTGTTGGCAAGAACTGGAGACTATAAATGGATGAGGCAAAACAAACACAAAGGCAGAATTTGAAGAAAATGGAAAACTATGTGTTTCACTTATTTTTATGTTCTTGTTTTTCATGTTCACACATGTGCGCGCGAGCACACACACACACACATATCTCGTTATTTTTTTACTCCAATATGCTCACTTCTGTGGAATGCTTTAATGGAAAAGGAAGCTTATGGAATTATACATTTAAAAACCTTTTCAATAGTGTTCACTCTTTAAAGGTATATATAAATACACATGTGTATGTGTACATACACATGACAAGTACATTTATATAATAGTCCATTGTTTATTACCAAGTATTTATCTTTTGTCTATCTAATCTGATTTCCCATTTTAATCCTTATCTGCTGAGTATTATTCATAGAATCATCTATTCTTCAAGAGAGGTTTATAAATTTCTAAATTCAGAAACTGCTCAGCCCTTGACATATCTAAAAGAATATATTAGTTCTCTTCATGTATGCTGCCAATCCTTACAGAAATTTGCCATTGAGTAATACAGATTTTCTATTTATGACTCTCCTTGGAAGCTCAGCAAAGGAATTTCTTAAACAATAATGTTGATAGGAGAAAGCAAAGAGGGTCCTGGAGGTGAATTTCCAAACTGATGTATACTTTACAGAAGCAAGCTTTTGCAAACCCTCTCCAGAAGGATGACTTAAGTTTGGCAAACCTACTTGAACTTTAATTGATTCACTTCCAGCTGAATGCATCAAAAGCTGGTTAAAGCTATAGCCAGGCATCCCCTTACACTGTAGGAACTGGAGACTCACAGTGGTCTG